GTAAAAGTATGTTTAGTTTTCTCATCATGCACGCTAGTCAATGCTTTAAAGGCTAAATCTTGACTGAGTTGTAAGACCTCTGTGGCAAATCGTGCTTGCCAGTCAGACCTGATATAAGGCCCTGCACCTAGCAACATTTAAGCTTGCACTCCAAATAAAGGATCCCCTTGCTGTCGCGGGATAGCGGCTGCATTGTCAGAGGCCACTTGCTAGTTTTGATAAAACTGGAGTTGTTGGGATGGAAGCAATAACGTTTGCACAATCATTTTAACATCATATGGTGTCAACAAATGCGCAGAAAATACATGTTGAATAATAGATTGACTGTACGGTGATTTTAACCCATACTGAGTGATTGCTGCCTTAGCTTCCTTTAAAACTTTCCAGTCTAATGCTTCCCAAACAGAACCTCCGTGTGCACCTGTCACAACCGGGAATGCAGACAGAATAAATTCACCTTCAATTAAAGCATCTCTAATTACCCCCCTCCATCTGTTTGCCACATCTCCGACCCCACCCCCCGTTAACAAACCCGTCGGAGGTGATGGTGGCAAAGGTACCATGGCACCGATCTCACCCGATATGTCCTGCGAAGTAGAAGAATTCATGGGAGGTGGTTGTGGGAACGATGAAAGTCCTGTGCTGAAAGGTGGTGGAGGCGCAGGAAAAGTTGATGACACTGGCTCAGGCTTTACTGATGACTCCAGGCAGGCTTCGAGAGCCTCCAGCTTCTGTAACATTTCTCTCAACTGCGTATCCCCCAGACCTGTCACCCGTTCCTCCTTTTCCTCAGACGGGGATGGAGGAGTGGATGGTGGCAGCGGTGGATACAGGGACGAGGTGACTGGTTTAGGGGACTGGTTTAGGACGGGATCTAGAGACTGAGCTGTTTCCTGTCTCTTCTGCTGGTGGTGGTGGAAATTCCGTCAGGCTGTCAGCTTTTTCTAAAGGCTGGTCTCTGGGCTCTGGATCTGCTACCGCAGACTTCCTGGCTGCACAAGTCCCTGCGGAGACCCTATTCGCCCCAGATACATGG